AACCAAGACTAGGAACTAAATATGCAACTATCCTATGCACGCGCCACAGTCTCTAATCACGATGCCACCGTCAACCGTACATGGGCGCCTTGCCTTTACCTGAAAAAAAAAACGATATGGCACACGGCCTGAGTATTGGGGCCATGCTAATGCAAACACATGCAATCATGAATAGGGACCTATCTCTAATCATAGTACTTCCCTACACACGACTCACACGTGCGAATGTGAGTCCCCAGGGCGCTCGCACACCCCCTGGACCCTCTGGTCAAGTTAAACTGTAGCGACGTCCGGAGGTCAGCGGAACCCCATAGTGTCATGCGCCTCATGAACACCCTCATCTGTGTGCTTTCGCACCTGTGCGCATTCGCGCTCATCGTAAGGTGCGCGTCCGCAACCATCATCTCTAGGGGAAGTAGCCCTATGCTTATGAACATACAAAATGCATGAGGTCCCTCTAAATCCATCATAATGTCTCTTCTGACACAACCCTCTAGTCTCATCTCTTTGTTACTCTAGGTAACGCATCTCTTTGTTGCTCTAGGTAACGCATACTCGTGGATATTTATATTACTATCATTTTCATGCTCATAGGGTTGTGTCCTACGTCGATCTAACGACATGATGCAATATGGCACTCATCATCATCTAGCATGCTCAATATGGAAAACATCGTCATATTAAGGTAAAAATCATGCAATCATCATGCTCATCATAATGCCACAACGTGCGTCAAACATATCAAGCGTCACTCAACAAAATATGTATATACTGGCACATAACATCAAGCATCATACAATTTATTTAGCCTATCCTATAGTAAGGCCACTTACTTGGTTGGCCTTGGCCGAAGTACTCCCTAAATCGCTAAACGTAAGCTCCCGTTCCGTGAAAGCTGCTCCCTACGTCCCCGGGGTTTGTTTCCTATCACACCGTCCACCACTTTCCGTTAGTATTTCATAATTAATTTACCTATAATTTAATAAATGTGAAATACGGCTCTGAAACGGCCTCGGATACCCTAATCGGGACCGAAAACAGATTCGGGAGGGTCGAAACAGTGGAAATTGGGCTGAAAATAGGTGAGCCGAGCCGAACAGCCGCTGGAGCCGCCAGAGGAGCTGCCGGAGCGTCGCCGGAGGGAGCCCGAGCCGTTTGCGCTGAGTCGAGCCGAGGGACTGCCTGTGCCACTGTGTGACACGTGGCAGTAGCAGAGAAAGCCACGTCGGGCGGCAGTGTCGGGTCGAAGCGCGGGTCGCAGCCCGGTTCGAGTCGTGGTTCGGGTCGTGGGCTGTGGAAGGCTACTGAGCCAAGACTAATCGTTGGGCCTCAGCTTACTGGGCTGGGCCGCAGGAGTTTGGTTTGCAGGCCGGCTCAATTGGACTGTGGGTCTGGTCTGGGTTGGTTCAACTGAACCGTAGCTTCTGGGCTGGTTTGAGGTTTGGGCCGCTGTAGTTGGGCTGGGCCGAAGGCAGAGGCCAAGGGAGGCACGGGCTGGCTCTCCTGGGTTCTGGGTTCGGGTTGACCCGGATCCGTGAATCTCGTCTTCCTTACCCGACCTCTGCCGATTTTCCGGCGAGCTTTCTCTCTCCTTCCCGCAGCGTTTCCGATTTCGGTCCTCTTCCTTTCCTTTCCCTCTTTGTTCGTCGTCCTTCTTTCCTTTCTAGGAGTTTTGCAGCCTAAAAGCTCCTAAAAGCCACAGATCTAAGAATCGATTAAGAAACCTAATTTTTCGACCTCGGTTACCGACGACGACGCTTACGAAATAACACAAAACGCACCCTGAGTTATTGTGCTTTCGTTAGGGATCCCTCTTATGGTGATAACAGGTCGTTTGGTGTCGGTTTGAGGGTGGTTTGAGGGCTCGTCGGAGAAACTGGACACTCGCCGACGTTTGTCCGAAATCTCTCTCTCTCTCTCTCTCGAAATTTTCTCTCTTTTCTCCCTTTGCAGCTGTTCTGAAACTTTGCAGGGTGTCGTGGGCTGAGGGTGGGCGTGCTGTGGCCGTCGTTTCGCGTGGGTTCCGCGAAACTCGGCGGTCGCCGAAAAACTCGTGGGTTTTCCGGCAACTGAGTTTTTTTTTTTTTTTTCGTTTTCTTGTTTTCCTTTATTTATTTATTATTATTATAACTATATTTTTTTTTTCTTTCTTTCTTTCCCGGGTCGTTACATATTTGTTTAGATTGCTGCCGTTAGTATCTAATTAAATCTCCAATTAGATTTAGTTTAGATTTGATTTACTTTTGATTTGTTTACTGGTTTATTACCCGATTTTCTTGCAAATTTTTTAGGTAGATTTTCTCAATATATTTTTGTATTCTATATATATACACATCATTCTTGTTCTCCATAATTCAATCAATCATTTAATCGAACTCGTAGTTTTTCGACAAGAACTTGAACCAAAACCCACAACCTCCAAACCTCAAATCCAACTTCAAAACCAAACAAATCAACCAGGAAAACACTCACTGGCCGTGGTACATCCACCCAGAGCAGATCTACGTCGTGGTTGTCACCATCGTTGGAGGAGGAAGAACCCAAAAGTTAGAATTTGAAGGAAACGAGATCCGTCTTCCCTGACGTCCATCAACCATGAAATTTCGTGGGAGAGAGGAGAAGAAGCAAGAAAGAGGAAGAGGAAGAAAAAGGATGGAAAAAGACGTCGAAAACCACCCCGCAGAGGAGAGAGAAATGTCCCCAGAAAATCACGTAGGAAGTCGGGTAAGGAAGAAGTGATCTGATGAATCCGAGTCGGATCTATCCGTGACCCGAGGCCCAAACAAATCTCGGTCCAACCCCCTCTGCAACCCACGTGCGACCCACTAACCAAACCCGAACCATGACCCGCGCCCGCGCCCGCTCTACAAACCTGAGAACTCGAGACCAAACCCACCTGCAAACCCGAGGCCCAAGTCTCCTCGGCCCAATAGCCCACCAACTCGCCTACAGCCCAGACTGCGAATCGAAGCACAGTAAACCGGCTTGTAGACGCGACCCGAACGTGACCCGAACTGGGACTCAACCCACGCTCGACCCGACGACACTATGCCACGTGGCTCTCCCTACTTCCGCCACGTTGCACCCAGCAGCGTGAGTATCCCCTCGGCTCGGCTCGAGTTGGCGACGCGTGGTGACTCCAGCAGCTTCCGGCGATGCTCCGACGGCTCCGACGGCTCCTCGGCTTATTTGGCTCGACTTCTCCAATTTTGGCCCGACTTTTACCGTTTCGACCCTCTTGAACCTATTTTTGGTCTCAATTAAGGTAAATGAGGCCGGTTTAGAGCAATATTTCACATTGTTAGTTTGATTATTAATTAAAATGTGAAATACTAACGAAAGGTGACAAACGATGCCATAGGAAGCGAACCCTGACAACTTTTGGAGCAACTCTTGAGAACCGAGAGCTTACATTAAATTAACTTTTATAATGATGCTTGATGATGTGCATAATATATATATTTCGATGAATCACTTTATGGCAATATGATGAGTATGATGATTGCATGACGTTTAACTTAATAGGATGATGTTTTCCATATTGAGCATGTTATATGATGATGAGTGTCATATTGCATCATGTCGTTGGATCGACATAGAACACAACATCATCATGGTATTTTGTAGCTCGTCGAACTCTTCTCCACATTTCTTCTTATGCGCGACAGAGCTGCCAGGGCTACCAACAAGTCTTGAGTTGTTCATTTGAGCAACTTTTTCTTATAGCGAGTCCATTCTAAAAATCAGTTCTTTGATTGGCAACCCATAAAGACAGTTACCCATTACGTCGATTCCCTCAACTTTTTCATTTATTTCTGTCACTCAGGCTTCTAGAAAGCAGACAATATCAGAGACTTCTTTAAGGAACAACATTTCCTCCTCTATCAAGGTAAGACGATCGGCTTGTGATTGGGTGTCTATTTTGTCATCGACATTGTTTCGGTCTTAATGCATCAAGAAGATAACAAAGCTCTAATACCACTTGTCATAATCGCATTTTTCTTGACAGTGGACTTTTGCAATTGAGAAGAAAGTTTTATAAAATGGGGACAAAGAGATATTTATTCTAAATATCTATAAGATCTCGTAAATGATATATTTGTTTTCAATTTCTCAAAATTAATTAAATGCTCTCGTAACAAAATTATAGTGTGCCTTATTCATGATCCAAAAATAAGAACTTGAAATGCATTTGTTAGAGCAAACTCCACAACTAAATTTTGAAGAATACTTAGATCGTAAGTACAAGTATTTTGTATTACACGCCTTATTGTCCCTCAAACCTTAAATCATTTGATTTTCAATTGAATATGGATTGTTATCTGTTTTTAATTATGAATATCTTATAACTTTTTTATTTGAGAAATGAAATTAATTGAATATAAAATTGAAAGAATAATAAGGAATTAATAAAGAGAACCTAAAATTAAATTTTAATTTCGTATTCCTTAAATTCTTTATCATTATTTTATTTGATTTTGTCCATAAATAAATCAATCACATACATTAATACCATAGCTAACCCACTCATACAATCATGCCAACACTCTACTTATGTAATCTATTATTATTATTATCCCCATTTTCATGAAATTTTCACCTTTAATTTGGTCCATTCATCTACTAATTTTAACTAAAAAAATTCCCACCTACTCAAATTTTAATTTGATTAATGGCACGAAATACTGATATAGTGGAATTGTTCGAATTGTTACAACCTCTAGTAGATGGTTTGAAATTGATGGTATAATTTTGATAAAACTTAACAAAAAGAAATTGGAAAAAAAAAAAAGAGGTTAGAATATTAAAATTTAAAATCGTATCAATTGTAATTTGAAGAATTTATGCAAATCCTCTCAACTTTATAAAATATAAAAATTGATGATTGAAGTATAATAAGAGATTAAAACAAATTACATCTCAAAATTAAAATAGCCCATCCAAACCCTAACTTTCATTTATAATATAATAATAAGAAATTAATAGAGAAAAACATAAAATCAAAGGTGGAGAGTGGAGCCACTAATCTTGTGATAGTCAAAGGAAGACAATTCACTGAGCTTTCCGAATTTGGTCTCATAGTACTGGACAAGCTCCAACCTAGGAGGAAACAAAAAACATTTGAAATTGAATATAATAAGAAAACATGAAATGAGGTTAAAAAAGTGATTTATGGAGGGTACCAATAAGCCAAGCATTGATAAGGAGCATAGGTGTCGTAAATTTGCTTCACATCTTCCCCAACTGTCTTCTTGGTACAATATTGGATTCCATGCACTTGTTTTAAGTGCCTTATGGTTTCAGTATCAATTGGGAGTTGGTGGTAAAATCCAAGGCACATGAATATATTGGCTGTCGCAAAAGGACCAAACCCTTTGATTTTAGGGAATGCATCCGGAGAGGACACTGGTTTTTCTAATGATTGGAGGTTAATTCTCCCACTCTCAACACTTTGAGCAAATTTAACCACGTAATTAGCTCTATAACCAAGGCAATGATTCTTCAACGCTTCAACTCCCATCCTACAAACCTCCCTTGCATTTGGAAAATTGCCTCTTTCATTATTCCCTTTCCTTTTCCTCTTCTTACTTTCCCTCATTTTGGCTTGTACCTCACATAGCTTCTCCGCCATTTCCAGCGTCCTTCTCCACCTGATCATGGGTTTATAATTAAGAAACACAAAATATTATCAAATCAAATTAAATCAAATAGGGCTACTTACGAGGTATTGCACATAAGGATGGACTTGACCACATCTTCGAAGAGAGATGGAGATCGAAAAATCCGACCAAATCCAATCTGTTTGGCTGTGGGGTGCAGATTTTGAAATCTTCTAATCTCATCTTCATCTTTCTCTGTAAGTCGCAACATCCGAGCCACTTGATCCTACAAAAGACAGACCCATCAAGAACGTGGAGAAAGGGATAAAGAGGAAGGTTGGAAATTACCAATATAGCCACTTCATCTTTAGGAGGGAGGGAGCGAGGAGAGTGGATTTGAAGGGTAAGTAGAGAAGAAGAAGATTGGTTGATAGAGACCAAAAGGGAAGTGTCTGAATTGGAGAGACGAAGTGGACGTTGGAGTGTCTTGGAAGAAGGAATCCATTGGTTTGGTGCCATCATAAACGCACCATGATTACACACAGCTTTCTCAAGGTTGAAATCACTCACTCCAACTCCTAATTTCAATTCAATCATTTTCATCTTTCTCTCTACCTCTTCCCACCTTCCGACCTTAATATAATTTTTTAGTTTTTGATTTTGTCCATAAATAAACCAATCACATCCATTGCTACCATAATTAACCCTTTCACACATTCATGGGAAGACTCTACTTTGGAATCTATTATTATCCCTCCATTTCATTCTTTCTTTTTAAGGGATGATTATACTTTTTTTTTAGTACTAATTCACACTCAAACTCATACCATCTCTATAGTTTTGGTCAAATTTATAATAAAATCGGGCAAGATTACAAATTCTATATATTGCTAATCCTGCATATGGGATGTTCAAACAAACTTTTTTTTCTTACATATTATTATTATTTTTAGGAATGAATTCAAATGAGTACACCTAGTAGGAGTTTGTCCAAAAAAAATTTAAATAGAGTAGATATAACGATCCTATTTTTATTCGCCTTTTGTTTTTGTATTCGTAGTCACGGTCCGAAATTTAGAACTTTAAAAATTAGGTCTTGATAGGAATTTTTTCATGTTCGATGAATTTTAATAATTAGCTTACAAAGTATTATGATATTAATTTTTTTAAAAAAATATATGAATTTAGATAAATATTTAAGGAAAAAAAAAAGAGAGTCAAAAGATTTTGATTGGAATAATAATTAAAAGTGTGATGTCCCAAGTTGGTTGGGGAGGAGAACAAATCACCATTTATAACGGTGTGGAAACTTTCCCCTAGCAGACGCGTTTTAAAGCCTTGAGCGGAAGTCCGAAATGAATTGTCCAAAGAGGACAATATCTGCTAGCGGTGGATTTGGGTCGTTACATATGGTATTAGAGCCAGACACGGACGATGTGCCAGCCTTCTCGCTGTTCCTCGAAGGGAGTAGACACGAGGCGGTGTGCCAGTAAGGATGTTGGGCTTCAAAGGGGGTGGATTTAGGGGCAGTCCTACATCGATTCACATTGATTGGAGGAAGGAAAGAGTGCCAGCGAGGACGTTGGGCCCCTCGTGGATTGTAATGGATGTGGGTGGTGGAATAATGGAGATCAGAGGATTTAATTGAGCAATCAAAACAGTAATCCCAAAATTAATAAAGTTTGCATAACAGTGATAAGAAAGAATACAAGGGTTTTGGATATTATTTTATAGAAGAAAAATCAAGGAAAGAACTTCACCAACGCCCTATTATAATGATCATACTTCAGCCTTTCCATGTTCTTGGCTAGTTTGGCTTGCTTGTACTCGAATCTGCTTCTACAAAGCTGGACCTCCCCAAATTTCCTCTTCATGCTTCTCACTCTCTCACTCTCCAACAACTCAACATCCACTCCTTCATGGAAAAGGAAGCCATCAAATTCTTCGCACATTAAATCATTGGACACCTCAAACTTCGAACATACCATACTGCCCCAAATTTTGGTGGACAGTTCAAATAGTGTTTGGAGGTGAGGAGTGTTGTGGGTATTGTGTTCAAATTTGGATGAATGCTCCATGAACTTCTTCTTTAGACGACAAATCTTATCTGAAACTTGAGATTGCTTCACACAGCTACGGAGGAGTCGAGGCTTTATGAATTCATAAAATCCACCAATGTCGGATTTGGCTTTTATTCCTTGATACTCGTAATACCCACTTAGCAAACTAATCTCATCTTCTTCACTCCATAGCTTTGGAAACTTGGCTCCACTCTCATTCTTTGTTTCTTTCATCTCTTCTTCACCATCTTCTTCATTGGGACATTCCACCTCCTCCTCTTGCATAACTCACTACCCCCACAAAAAATTAGGGCAAAAGAGAGAATTGTGCTCACTTTTGTTATTCTGCATGCATACACACACACACACACACACACATATATATACGTATAGAATTTGTTTGAATAATAGATTCCATAAGTAGAGCGTTGACATGAATTATGAATGGGTAATTAAGTTTGGATTTTTTTAATATACTTTCCTTGTTCAAATATTATCTTAAGCATGTTGTTTAAGAAAAATAAAATTTCCATATAAATATAATGAAACATAGAACGTAGTAAGTGACATAGGTATCAAATATTTGTGATCGATATCATTTGTGTATGTGGATTTGATTGGTATGCGTTTTGGTTTTGGTTGTAGTCTTCCAAAGTATTTGTTTATGGCTTCTAAACGCCATTCAAGAACGTTGAATTCTTATTCAAGTGAAGACAATTCAGATTCAGAGTACAAAATAGAAGAGGAAAGTAGCGAAGAATCAGAGGAGCAATCAAAGAGCAACAACAATAGCAGCAAAAAAAGAATAAAAAGGAGAGTATTGGAGTGGGAAGAAGAAGATGAAATCATTGTGTTGCAACAACTCTACCAATTCGGAGGAAGCAATGCTTCATATTCAAAGGCCTTCTACGAGTTCGTGAAGAAGAGATTAAACAACAACCAAGTGTCGATGCATCAACTGAGTAACAAAATCGACCGATTCAAAAAGGAATATCTGAAGAACGAGTGTCGAAAGAAAGAGAATGATTTGAAATTCTCGGAGTACCATGAATTTGAAGTGTTTATGTTGTCAAGGAGAATATGGGGAGGTAAGAGAAGCAAAAGCAATGGAGGTAGGATGAAGTATGCAAAAGGATTCTTGGAGTATCTGGAAGAAATGGATATCGATATCGATTGTTTAACGCCTTCGTGTTTGGAACATTTTAAGAAAGAGTGGGAAGTTCAGTTGCTTATGTACATTGAGCTTTTGTCTAAGAAGTCCAAGTTTGATGCTAAGCTTATGGAATTGTTGTTTACAAAGTCTTCGCACCCTAATTAATTTTTTATTTCTGGGTAGCTCTTAAGTTAGATCAAGGCGTTCTAATTCTTTTGAAATTTTTGTTATTATCATCAATGTTACATTTATTTTAAATGAATTTTACGAACTATTAAGTCCACGAATTTCTTCTACTTGTACTCATTCGAGTTTATGGGTAAGAAAAATATTAATATAGAATTTGCTTTGGCAGTTACAAATTTGACATTAATTCCTGATATTAATAATAATAATAAAGAAAAGAATTATAATTTTATTCCTTAAAAAGAAAGAATGAAATGAAGGTATAATAAAAGAATCCATAAATAGAGCATTGGCATGAATGTATGAATGGGTTAATTATGGTAGCAATGGATGTGATTGGTTTATTTATGGACAAAATCAAATAATAATAAAGAATTTAAGGAATACGAAATTAAAATTTGATGTTATGTTTTCTCTATTAATTCCTTATTATTCTTTCAATTTTATATTCAATTAATTTCACTTCTCAAATAAAAAAAGTAATAAGATATTGGAGATAACCATCTATATTTAATTTAATGGCATGTAAATACAAACTATTTATATTATAAAGTTCAGATACGATCAAAGTTTTTTTTTTTTTTTTTTTTTTTTTTTTTTTTTTTTTTTTTTTGTAGTTTAACCTAAGAAAATTACACGGTAAGGCCACTTACATGCCTGATAGAATATACGTACATTCCAATTAACACAACACGTGTGTGTGGAAAAATAAGCAAATAGTTGGCAACTAATTTCAAGAAAATCATGACGCTGAACGGCTTATGTACTTTTTTTTTTTTTTTTTTTTTACACAAATGTCACATTTCAATGAGTAATATTGCCATACAGAAACTATAAAATCTTGTTTTATCATTGTGAAATTAACTGTTGAATTTCTAGAAACTAACAAGTTAATAGTACACTGAACAAGATTCCAGAAAAGCATTCCAAACTGGTATACGAGTCTACAGGCATAAGAAAACAAGATGAGAAGTTTCAGACGTAATGTCTTCTGTTAACATGGTTCAGAAAGACTCACCAGAAAAAGAGGATATCCAGCAAGTAATGATCGTGGAAGTGCTGAAGTGAAATACCAATGCACAGGGTGGGTCTGGGGTCAAAAGTTATTAAGGAAGCACACTGGTCAATCTATCTCAGAGAACTTGATGGTAGGCATTGTTCACATCATTATTTACACGCAAGTAAAGCATCTTCCCAAGAAAAAAAAGAAAAAAAAAACCCAANAAATTTTTTTTTTTTTTTTTTTTTTTTTTTTTTTTTTTTTTTTTAGCTCATTCAAAGGTTGAAACATACCAAGAAAAATGAAACTGTGCCAACAGCCCAACCCATTGGAAACAGGAAACCGTCTCTGCTAGCTGTCGTCATCCATACATGTGCGTCTTGCCTCTACTGAAAAATGATGTGACAAACAGCCTAAGTATTTCGAAGAATTCAGTAAATGAGCCCACTATAGGGGGTCATGCAAATCCAAACATATGCAATCATGTTCTTGGGACCTATGTCTATCTCATTGGCTTCCAGTTCAGAATACTATGGATGTATAGTACTACCCTACACACAACCCACATGTGTGAATGTGGATCCCTAGGCGACTCGTACACCCCCTGGACCCTCTCTTGTCAAGCTAGCTATATGTAGCGACGTTCGAAGGTCAGCGAAACTCCTGGTGTCATGCTCCCCATGATCATCCTGCTCATCATACTGTGCACATCTGTACTCATTATCTCTCGGGGAAGTAGTCCTATGCTTATGCACATACAATATGCATGAGATCCCTTTAATTCCTATCTTAACATCTGTTCTGATGAACCCTCTAATCTCATCTCTTTATTATATTAAGTAACACATGTTCGTTGGATATTTATATTAATATTATTTTCATGCTCTTAAGTTTGTATCCTATATCAGTCTATCAACATGATGCAATATGGCACTCATCATCATATTACATGCTTAATATAGAAAACATCAACATATTAAGTCAAATGTCATGCAATCATCATACTCATCATATCTGTAACAACCGGGAAAAACAAAATAAAATAGTAATAATCATAATAATAATAATAATAAATAAATAAATAAATAACTAATAAAAAAATATATATATTAAAAAAAAAAAACATTTGTGAACGGATCCCTCCTCCCTTCAATCTCTCACCACTTCTTCCCTAAAAATAAATTTAGGAATAAATCAAGAATTCTTTTCTGGGAAGATTTACCCAGAATTTCTTCATTCCTACCAAAACAAATAGAAAAAAAAAACAAAAGGTTTTAGCAGATTTTGTTGGGCCAAGAAGATGCATCATTTGAAGAGGCCAGTAGTCGTATGTTAAATCTTCCTCTTGTTTTATTAAGTAATATTAATTTGGTTACAATTATTTAGGTTTGAATTAGAGATTAAATGAAAAGAATTTTGTATGAGTTTTAGGAAATCACGACCAATTATATTTTAGATCTCCTGAACTGTTCAGATCTTCTGAATTGTTGCAATGATTCAAGCTGTCAATAATTTTATATGAATTATAGAAAAAGAACCTAACCAAATGAATCGATTGAATTAAAAGCTAAGAATATAATTGTTAACTAAATCAGAAGGAAGACAAAGGAAAGAAGAGATGGAAATCCAGAATACTGTTAACACGGAAAAGAGAAAAAAAAAATTGGAAGGAAGAATAGATTAACAAAATTGGCCAATAATATCTCCAAAATAATTACAGTGGAAGATGGAAGATTGAGAAAAGATTTTGTTGAAAATAATTTTAAAAGAAATAAAACAGGAAACCTAAGAGAGCAAGGAACTCCATCAATTTCGTCTAACAGAAAATATCAGAATTTAAGAATGACCAATGTAAATTAGGGAAATAATTTTATAGAGTTCAAACTTGAAACTGATGTCATGGGCTCACATAGGTTAACTTGGAGTTCAATGGACTTTCATCAAGGATAACGATGGAATCGAACTTTCGTTAAGGATATATTCGTGACAACGACTTAAGCTAACCAGGTAAGTGACCTTACTATCGGCATGGTTATATTTGATGTTGACACGTACCTTGTGGTTCTGTACGTGTCATATATATTGATATGTGTGAATTGTCTGCGGATCGATATGCTTCCTATATGTTATGTTATGTTATAATATGTGGTTTGTATGATAATAATTATGGTACGATGTGCTCAAGGATATGTTTGAGATAGGATACGAGAAGGATGCACAAAACAAAATGTAACGATAGGAGTAAGATACGTCCACGAAACGTTAGGTTAGGTTACATATCGGAGTGCTATGGATACGAGAGATTGATGCAAGAATACGGTTAGGTTATGGGTAGAAAGGGATAGGTTTGTGATAGATTGATAGAACGATGGCGTTAGGATACGTTCTGGTGATGATATGACTAAGGTACGTCACGTAATGATATGTCTGTGATAGGTATAAGAACGTTAAGGCTATGGTAAGTTAGAGAACGATATGACTATGAAGTATTTACGTTATGACTTGGTTATGATATGATCCATTGTATGCTAGATTATTGTGCTTAAGTACGAAATCATGTGAACGTGAATGTATGTTATTTATGCTGCTTAGTTGATGTGATATGAATGCATGTGACGATGTGTGGCCCTTGTACGATTATGGCTTGTTGTATGGGTATTGAAATGTAACTGAATGAATTGTATGACATGAAATACGGTAAATTGCATGATACATAACCCCGCTAGGAATATGTATGATATGTAACGAAATGAGAATGAGAATGACATGTAAGCATGAAAACGTGGCGCGGGGTTATGCTCATTAAATGATGACTGTAGGACTAGTGGGACCTCATGCATATTGGGTGTTCATGCATTTGGGGGATACCCCTATCCCATCACGAGGGTACGGACGCGTGCATCCAAATGGCAGGACAACGACCGTTATGCTCGCATAGCGCTGCCGTGACGGTTTTAGTTTTAACGGGTCTCGGTGGGCCCCCAGAGCATGCCCACCGGCTAGGGACAGTGGCCCAGCGGTGTGCAAACTAGCTGGTGAGCCCATACTCGCACGTATGGGCTGCGTGTAGAGTATATGGTACACGTCCACGATTACCTGTTAGGGTTACACCGTTGGGAAAACGAAACGAAACGAAACGAAACGAAAAAGAAACGGAACGAAACGAAACGAAACGAAAGATAGGTCCCATCATTTCATTGCATGTGATTGTTGCATTTAACCCCAATAGTGGGGTCACTTACTGAGTATTTCTTTAAATACTCAGGCCATGTGCTACTACATTTTTCAGGTTAAGGCAAGGCATTCCTGTACGGCTGACGACGACATCGCAACTCGAGATCATGGCACATTCATAGGCTAGTGGTATTTGTTTTCCTAGACTTAGGATAGAATAGGATGTTTTAAACTTAAACGTTTATTTATTTTATTTCGAGTCTTTTGTTGTGTCGTTTTAAAGATGTTTTCGAAACACGTAAGTCCATGGCTGTGTTTTTAAGTTAAAGGTTATGTTTTATGGAATTTAAATGAAGTCTTCTGCATTCAATGTTTATGGTATGTATATAGTAGCGACCTTAAATTAAGTGAAAAATTTCGAGTCATTATAATATCGCCATAAATTGCATTAAGCATATCAAGTACGTCATAAATCGAAATATATATATATTACACACATCATCATGCATCATAACTCATCATCATCATAACTCATACATCATATGTACTAGTATATGACATTATACAAGTATTTTTATACTCACTCCTTTTCTCTTTATTTTTCTGGTATTCACAGGTTGTTCATGGAGGTAGAGGAGTGTTCGAAAACTGTGCGGTTACAGAAGGGGTCGTTCTAGAGCATTAGTTCATTTTTACATTTTGGAGTCTTGTTGACTTGTATTTCAAACTCGTTTCCCATTTTTTTAATATTTTCAACGTTGGGTTTAATTTTGTATTTAATTTTAGTATTGTTGGCCTTCTATTCTAATTTAAATTTATCAAATTTTTTATGTTTTATTTTATTTATATATCTTTTCTATCTCCCCCCATTTAATTATCCTCTTTTACTTTTAAATGTAATGAATTGACCCCACATTCAATATAAGAGCTACATAATTATTTTATTTTCTAATTATGCCTCTTATCTTTTTGAATTTAGGATTATAGGATTATGAAGTAGGGTAAATTTAGTTATCAGATGGGCGTCAATTCATTCATGTAGTTCTTATAACTCAAGTGTCACGTGTCGACAAACTCTTACCTTACTTTGTCCTTGAACCATCGTACTATGAGATGTTTCATTTTGATACCATATATAATGCCTCGAGACAAAGATTTAAAATTCAAATTTAACTCTTGATGACTTTATTCCCGACAATTTTAGGTGAAGAAAGTGATGGTTTAAAGAACCCTCAACAAAGAGGTTTTGATTAGTTGATTGGTGAGAATTTAAAAGGAGATTAGTAATATTGTTTTGGGGGTTTTCTTCATTGAGAAATAGGCTACCTAATTGTTGTCTCAATTTGTGAGAAGAGCCAGCCTAAGTCGTGGTTGGAGTTCTCCCAAGGTGAGGTGAGTTTTTAAGATTTTGTTTTTTAGGTCGATTAAGTTCATTTTTCTATGTTTTTGAGCTGATTACAACTCTATTAATATTAAATATGACTTTATGGCATAATTGAGATATCTTGGAGAATTTTAAAAGAAAAAAACCCTAGTTTCAGCAAAGTAAGTACCTAACTAGATTTCCTATTTGAGCTTTGTCTTTGTAGGAAACACATGATTAAGATAAGTAAGTAGCTAACTAGATTTCCTATTTGCCAGTTACGGGCAAAGTTCGAGGTAGAAGCTCTCAACAAATCTACTAAAATCTTATTCAACAGTTTAGTCGATTCATTAGTTTAAGGGTGAAATGCTCTGATGAACCTATACTGAGTACCCAGTGCCCTTTATAAATTCTTCCGAAATTTTGAGGTGAAACGGATATCTCAATCTGACACTATTGATACGAGCATGTCATACAGCCTCATTATCTCCTCTAGATATAATCGATCCCACTTATTCACTAAGTACGTCATCTTACTAGGTATAAAGTGCGTTGACTTAGTTAGTCTATCAATAATAACCCAAATTACTGTGAAGCCCTTCCTCGTCGTAGGTAATTATGAAATGAAGTCCATCGCCACATCTTCCCACTTCCATTGTGGAGTACTCTGGGGTTGCAATAATCCCGAGGACTTCTGTCTTAGCACCTTTACCTGCTTACGGGTCAGACACTTGGTCACATACTTTCCCACATCCCTCTTCATATTGGGCCACCAGTAGCATGTTTTCAGATCTTGGTTGTAACGCCCCGTTAGGTTTAATATATATATATATATATAACAAAATAAAGAAGAAAAAAACTGATCACCCCTCCTCTAATCTCTCCCCCTCCCCTAAAAAGACCTCCCTCATTCAGTATTAATAATTCAGCAAACAAAACAGAAACACAAGGAAAATATTTTTGGGAGGAAGCATACCATGGAGAGATGGTTAGAAAATAGTGATGGAGAGATGGTTAGACAATAATGGAGAGATGTGGGTAGACAAAGAGATGTCATTTGAAAAGGTTAGTAGTCAGATTTACGTTCTCCTTTTTAGATATTAACAATTATTTAGATCTGAATTAGAAATTTAGAAATTATCTTTATTGGAATGATCTGAATTAGAAATTATCTTTATTGGAATGATCTGAATTAGAAATTATCTATCTTAGCCCAAGTCTATTAAAATTGGTCAGAAAAAAAAAAAAATAGATAGATAAGAAAGAGAGGAAGATAGGGAGAACTAAGATCTAGAAAACCTATTCAAATAAAAAAAAAAAAAAAAAATTGGAAAACAGGATGAAAAGATGAAGAAAAAAAAGAAAAAAAATACCAAATTTGGAAAACATAATCAAAAGAAAGAAAAAAAAAGAGAATATTAGATTTGTAAATAGTAAAACCAAAGAAAATATAGGAATAAAATTAAACCATAAACCCAATTAACCATTTAGAGAATTAATCGATTTAGATACAAGAGTTAGATACATGGAAAGAGAAGAGGATTAGATTTGGAAATAGTACCAAAAAAAATATAGGAATAGAATTAGAATGCTGAACAGAATTAAATGATTTAATATATGATTTAGAGAATTAAATGATTGAGATAGGGGAGTAGAATTAAATTCGTTAGAAGAAACCGTTTAAAAGAATTATATAATAAAACTCTTTTTTTAAAAGAATTATATAATAAAACTCTTTTTTTTTAAAAAAAGAATTAGATTTAAATGACTTAAAATTTATATAGGGAAGTAGAATTGAACTACTTACCCGAATTAGAGTTAAAAAGAAAAAAAAAAGAAAAAAAAAATAGAACCCTTTGAAGATGGCAAATACTATTTAGATGTCAAGATGGTAAGTACGGTAAACAAAATTAAAATATAACATAAAAGAGAAATAAAGTGAAAGAAGAAAGATATGAGAAATTATTATATCTGTATCTATAGGATATAACATTAAAGGTTGAATTATACATCAGCTTGAAATATTAATAATATTGACATATCTTTAATTTAAGTTTTAAGTTTTATTATTCTAAAATATTAATAATATTGACGTATTTTTAATTTAAGTTTTAAGTTTTATTATCCTATATAATTTAGAAACAATGAAAACATGGAATTTGATTTTTATTGAGGTCGTTTATAGCCGTATTTTACACGGTTAGTTGGATTATTAATTAAAATGTGAAATACTAACAAAAGGTGACGAACGATGTGATAGGAAGCAAACCTTGGCAACATTTGGTATAGTTTTTGAGGAACGGAAGCTTACGTTAAATAAATTAAGGAGTACTCCGGCTAAGGGCAAACAGGTAAGTGACCTTACTATATGATAGTCTAAAGATTGTTTGAATTATGATGATGTGTAAGTATGACGTTGTGTTGTGATGTCTGTTAAATGTACGCTATTTATGTTTCGATGCATGACGTACATGTTATATTTGATGCACTTAATGTCTTCTATGATGAGTATGATATATGCATGATGATGTTATTAACATGATGATGTTTTCCATGTTGAACATGCCTTATGATGTTGTTTGCCATATTGCATCATGTCGTTAGATCGACATAGGACACAACCCTAAGAGTATGAAAATGATATTAATGTAAATATCCATGAGTACGGGTTACATAGTAGAACCAAGAGATGAGACTAGAGGGTTGTGTCAGAAGAGATGTATAATTGGACTTAGAGGGACCTCATGCATATTGTATGTTCATAAGCATAGGGCTACTTCCCTTAGAGATGATGTGTGCGAACGCGCACCGTATGATGAGCGCGAATGCGCACAGGTGCGAATACACACAAATGAGGGTGTTCATGAGGTGCATGACACTATGGGGTTCCGCTGACCTCCGGACGTCGCTACAGATTAGCTTGACCAGAGGGTCTAGGGGGTGTGCGAGCGCCCTAAGGATTCACACTCGCAAGTGTGAGTCGTGTGTAGGGGAGTACTGCACATCCAATTTGTCTGAGACTGGAGGCCACCCTTAAGATGATTAGAGATAGGTTCCTAATTCATGATTGCATGTGTTTGCATTAGCACGACCCCTATAGTGGGGTCACTTACTAAGTATTTTTTCGGGTCGTGTGCCATATTGTTTTTCAGGTAAAGACAAGGCTCCCATGTACGGTTGACGGTGGCATCGTGATTAGAGACTGTGGCGCGTGCATAGGATAGTTGCATATTTAAAATTCCTGGACTTTGTTAGGATAGGGTGCTTGCATTTCATTTATTTAAATTATTTAACTTGTCATTGTTTTTATCTTATTTGAACTCCAGTATGATGTATGAAACACGTAAGTCCGGCGGTGTTTTCTAATGTTTTAACGTATTCTGAAGGTTTAAATTTTTCCGTTAATAAAGATGAGCATTTCTTAGAGTTATATTCTACATTAGAGATGAGCATGAGACGTTAGTGACGACTCTAGATATGTGGAAATTTAGGGTCGTTACATTGGTGCTATCGGGATGTACCATAAATGGTGAGTGATGAGCCTCTATCACAACTCCTTCAGTTCATCGTTGTCTGAGACACATGGTATCGTTCCATACGAGGCCATCATCTGAGGTTAGCAAAAATTCTCCTGTCTTTGCATATCTCAATTGTTCATAAACCTCTCCGAGGTAGTGATCCTCCTTTTGTGCAACTATGATACAATCCTTCAAGGTGGGTTAGATGGTCAATTGGGCTAATCTTGTCATTGCCCCCTTGACCATCACAGCAATTCTAGCCCTCTCCATATCAGCTTGGATCTCAGTTTGCCTCGTTAATAGCACATGTGTGAGCCTTCTTCCTACTTAATGCGTCGACGGCTACATTAATCTTATCAGGATGGTCTTGAATGTCCACATCATAGTCTTTAACTAACTCTAACCATCTCCTTTATCTCATATTGAGCTATTTCTATGTGAATAAATACCTGAGGCTCTTATGGTCTGTGTAGATTTGGATCATTTCTCTATACAAGTAGTGCTTCCAAATCTTCAGGACGAAAACTCAGCGACTAATTCCAAGTCATTTGTTGGGTAATTCTTCTCATATTCTTTTAGTTGGCGGCAAGCATAAGCGATCCTCCCGTTTTGCATCAGCACGCAACCTAGTCCTTTTATTGATGCACCGCTATAGACTACAAAGTTTCCAGTGGCGTTAGGCACAATAAGCACGGGTGACGTCACTAGCCTCTCATTTAACTTTAAGAACCTCCTTTCACAAGCACGATCCCATATGAATGACTGTCCTTTTTGGGTTAGCATGGTCAGGATTGCTGTGATCTTAGCAAAATCTTGTATGAAGCGACAATAATAGCCTACTATCCCCAGAAAACTACGTACCTCGATCACAGTAGTCGGACAAGGCCATTTCATCATTACCTCAACTTTGGCTAGATCCATCTCTATACCTTCCTTTGACACCACATAGCCTAAGAAGGCAACTTCCTGAAGCTAGAACTCACATTTTGAGAATTTTGCTAATACAACAAATGTATCAACAAAATTCTTGAATATCCTGCTCATCAAGTCCATGAATATAGGGGGGGCATTTGTTAGTCCAAAGGACACTATTGTAAACTCGTAATATCTATAGCAAGTCCTAAAAGCCGTCTTGGGTATGTCTTCTTCCCTGATTCTCAACTGGTGGTACCCTAAGTGTAAGTCAATCTTTGAAAGCACCATTGCCCTTGCAGTTGGTCAAATAGATCGTCTATTAGCGGCAACGGATACTTATTCTTCACAGTGACTCTATTCAGTTCCTTGTAGTCTATGCATAGGCACATAGACCCATCCTTTTTATTCACAAACAACACTAGGCCCCCTAGGGTGATACGCTCGGTCGTATGAAGCCTTGTTTCAACAATTCTTGCAACTGCTCCTTGAGTTTCTTAAGTTATGCAGGGGCTATCCTATAATGAGCTTTAAAGATTGGCTTGTCTCAGGCTCTAGCTCGATGCTAAAATCGACCTCCCTTCTAGGTTGTAGTCCTGACAACTTTTCAAGAAAAACATTTAAGAATTCGTTCACAATTGGGATTGTGGAGATGTCTCCATTCGTGTATCGAACATTTGCCACACTAGCTAACAATCTCCATGCTCCTTGGTTTAGTCTCTCTGCCTTCACCGCATATATTATCTTAGGTACACTTTGATAGTGTTATTATAACACATGCGGAAGTAATTTGGATCTTAGGCACTCTAAGTACATCAATTGTAGTAAATTAACTAGCATGTTCATAAGTATTAAAACTCAAGGAGTTTGAGTACTAACCTTTTGTAGTTCAAGTTTCTTTTTCCTCACGAACCGATTTTGAATCACCACTAGTGTCTTCTCTACTAGTCTCCAACCTTAGAATGGGATTGTGGAATTTGGTGAGTGACTAAGTTTGGAAGGCATGGAGTATATGTGAAAGAGAATTTGTGAGGGACTTTCTCAAGCTTTTTTCAAGAATGAATTTCCATGTAACTTGATAACTCTATTTATAGAATCATATTTGCATGTTCGTGCAAATTTGAGATTACGACACTCAAAATTCCACCTAAATTGGTGGGATTTATTTGACAAACATGCATGTTTGGTTAAACCAAATTTTGACACTCAAAATTCCACTCAAATTTGTGGGAGTATGTGGCAAACATGCAAGTTTGGTTAAACATGTGGACACTCAATATCCCACTAACTCAATCCCACTAACTCAAACATGTATTTTTCCATTAAGTGAAGTCAACATTTTGACTTTATTTTAATTCAATAATTAATTTCAAATCAAGATAATATTAAATGATTAATTAAACAATTTAATTAATATTTAGCATTAAATCAAATGTCAATCCCAATCAAATTCGGTACATATTGATTATGAATCCCTATTCATAACTAAAATATTTAAATCTTATTTAAATATCTCAAATTCTCTGATTTTGTTTAATTCATAATTAAAACAAAATGCAATTAAATATATCGTATATATTTAGCGTATATTCCCTAATTTGAATTCGAACACTTCGAACTCATTCGTCACGCTGTTCTAAGGTTTAGTCCGATATGAGCTAGCAGGGGGACCTAATGGACCTACAGATCATGGACTCCAATAATCCGAGATTAACTCGCTAGACTCATTAACCTTGTTAACCAACATTCGTTAATTACTAGGACACTCCATTATAGCCTAGTAGTTGCACTCCCCTCACTATAGATATATTTCTGTCCATTTGATATAACCATGATTAGTAAGTCGATCCTTCACAGGTTGTTCGTAACTAGAGTTTGGTCAATTTACCGTTTGACCCCTAAAGTTACTTCTTGTTCCTTAAGTCCCATTGATCCTCTAATGAATAATTGGTTTGTGGTCCAACCACCAAACCGAATCCCTCTCAGGCCAAGGAGAGGGTGGGGCCCTTTGTTCAAGACTTGGAGTTAGTACTTAAGGGAACAACCTCTGTACTATCCCTAAAAACGTGTAGGAGTGAGTTCCATCTTACACCCTATGTCCCCAGCTATTCGCTCAGTCTTACCCTTGAAATGGGAGGCTTATTGAGTCGGCGAACTTGGGCCACTCTCACCCATGCAAATCTAAGGATAACTTCGAATAAACAGGAGTTCATAGTTAGCTCAGGATTAAGATCGAGTTACCTAGGTCATCGAATGAAAAAATCAGTCTCAACAGTAAACGACATTATAAAGCGAGAGTGGTTTTCTTCATGGTCAGATCTTATGCAATACTCATTGCATAGGACACCCCCATTCACATGTCTCCACATTTACAATTTAGTGATCACATTGTTTATATCATATACAAAAGTGGGCCGCATCCAAAGTGTCCCCAGAATAAAGTACTCAGCCTTATCCCTGTATTATAGATCATTTTGACTATATACTTGAACTTGATTCACTCTTATGTCTCTACATATAGTTCAAGTAATCATACTATAGCCAGAGTGTTCTTAGTTTATTGGATTTAGATTAATGATCGTAAATGTATGGACCCAAAAAAAAAATAAATAATTAAATCATTAAAAAATTAAAATAGCATTTTCCCTCTACTACTCTCCTAACCCTCCTCCTTCTCCCAAGTATCTCTCCTCAACCAACTCATCCGTCAAAATCCCAAATCATGGGTGGTTCATACAATGAAAAAAAAAAGAAAAAAAATACCAACAACGAACGAGAGGAGCTCGAGATTTAATTATTGGAGAGAGATCTTGCTTTGTTATCACGGTAAGTTTATATTTCATATCTCTTTTTCATTTATCCTATCAAAATCAGATTTCCTTTTCCGGTCTAATTATTCAGAATCAGATCTCCTTCCCTGTACCTGTCCATTTATTTTGATTTTGGTTATGAGGTTATAGAAAATTAATTATGAGGCTAATATCAGGCTAATATCTGTAATAGAATAAAAAAAAATACAGAACAGAGAGAAAAATGGGAGATAAGAAGTAAATACAGAATAGATAGGAAAGAAAAGATTGGATTTAAAAAAAAATTAACAAGTAAAAAAAGAGAAAGGAAAGATCCAGGAAGAAGAATCTATCTGTGATATCTGTATAACAGAAGAAAAAAAAGGGAAAACAAGAGAAAGGAAAGATTTGGAAAGAAGAATACAGGGAGAAGACTAAAGATCTGAGAAGAAGAATCTATCTGTGATATTTGTGAATTTGAATGATAACCGAAGAAAAAAAAAAGAGAAAATAAGAGAAAGGAAAGATTTGGAAAGAAGAATACAGGGAGAAGGCGAGAGAGAGAAAGGCTAGAATATTGTTAACAAAATTAAAAAAAAAAAAAAAGAATATATATATACACATATAAAGATAAGAGGCCAACTACGGTAAACAAAATCAAATAGGAGGCCAAATACCCCAAACAAAATCAAAAGGAAAGAAAGACAAGAAGAAATGTAGAGAAAAGAAAAAAAAAAAATAAATAAAGAGGGGAGGACAGAACTAAAAGAGAAAGTACAGAGAAGACATACCGAAGAAAAAAAATAATAAAGAGAGCCAGACAGAAATAAAAGAGAAAATACAGAGAAGCCAGAATACAAAATGAAAAGAAAAAAAAAAATACAGAAAAAGAGAAAAATAAAAGGGAAGAGTTGGGAGTAAGAATCGATACCCAATAATATGATTAATAAAACTCGATTAAAAATTGGTCAAGAATATGTCTTGAACAAAAATTGAGAGAAAAAGCAAAGTATAGGAAGAATATCAGAAGACAATAAAGTAGTAACTTGAAATAAAAAAATAGAAAATGAAATCTTAATATAAATAGAATATATATATAATATGTATATATATTTAGATGTATATTATAACGTTCCAAGACTTTATCCATGCAAAGCCTTTAATGCTCCCATGAAGTTTAGCACATGAACAATTGTAAGAGTTAGAGAATTGAACATGAAATTAATGCCATGGATTCATATAGGTTGGCTTGGATACAAACGGAAAAATCGAACTTTCATTAAGGATAAATTGGTGAACCCGTATAAGCTAACCAGGTAAGTGGTCTTACTATAGGATAGACTAAAAATTGTATGAGTTACGATGATGTATGAACTATGTCGTACGATGCAGTATATGAGTTATGATGATGTATGAGTTATGATGATGTGTGAGTTACGATATCTTGATGATGTGCTCAATATATATATATTTTGATGAATGTCGTACTTGATATGTTTGATGCACTTTGTGGCAATATGATGAGTATGATGATTGCGTGACGTTTACCTTAATATGATGATGTTTTTCATATTGAGCATGCTATATGATGATGAGTGTCATATTGCATCATGTTGTTAGATCGACATAGGACACAACCCTAAGAGCGTGAAAATGATATTAATATAAATATCCACGAGTATGTGTTACCTAGAGTAACAAAGAGATGAGACTAGAGGGTTGATATGGAAATCAACCCAAGGGAAAGTATGGAACGGATTACCTTGATGATCAAGATCAAGAGTAAAGAAAACTCGTTTCTAAACTCGTGATTCGAATCACTCCACAAGAGGTTTGATCAATACCACTTGAATGACTCTACATGCAAGTTCTAAACACAAGAATTTGCAAAGAAAGTTTAGCTCTCAACAAAGCTAAAATAAAATTCTATTCTTAATTCCAAAATCTGATGTCTAATCAAAGAAAAGAAGGCTTTATATAGCCTTTACAACCTTAACCTATGTCATACATAACTCCCAAATTAAATGGGCTAGTAAATGAGAAATACCCATAACCTCCTCATTTAAATGGCTAGTTAATGGTGGAATATAGTAACCTATGTGAGTTACAATATAACCTTAACTCCTATATTTAAAACTAGCTTAAATATGACAAACAAATAGTTAAACTATAATTAAATAATGCAAATAATAAAATGTGCTTATTAGTCATTCTTGGACTATTTGATAAATTCAGCGGAGTTCATTAAATGCAACTTAAAGTGCATTTAATTCATCTCTTTCTTGAACCTCAACTTTGCACAACATATAAGGGAGGTCTCCAGCGTCTTCTAGAATTTCCTTTGATGAGCTCACCATAGCTTGAATATAACTGTATAAAGTTTGTTGTAGCTTCTTGGCTCTCGTCCTTGTAATTGGACCTTGAGGTATGGAAATTCCTTGGTCGTGGTTCATATCATTCTCCCCCTCTTGAGAAGGATTCGTCCTCGAATCCAAGCCATCACCTACATCAAAAGGGCTCAAATCAACAACATTAAAAGTTGCACTAACACCGTACTTACCTGGTAAATCAATTTTATAAGCATTGTCGTTGATGCGCTCAAGAACTTGAAAAGGTCCATCTCCTCGTGGTAAAAGCTTAGATTTTCTTTGAGTAGGAAATCTTTCTTTTCGGAAATGCACCCAAACCCAATCTCCTGGCTTGAAGATAACAATCTTACGTCCTTTATTAATTCGGGTGGCAACCTTGGAATTTTGTTTCTCAATTTGTTCTTTCACTTGCTTGTGCAGTTTATGAACAAACTCAACCTTGGCATTTGCATCAAAATTCACAAACTCTTTTGACGGTATGGGTAACAAGTCAATAGGGGTTAAAGGATTAAAGCCATAAACAATTTCAAAAGGTGTGCATTTAGTAGTGCTATGAACAACCCTATTATATGCAAATTCTATAAATGGCAAACAATCCTCCCAAGTCTTAAGATTCTTATCAATAATAGCCCTAAGCATAGCAGTCATGGTTCTGTTAACAACTTCAGTTTGTCCATCCGTTTGAGGATGACAAGTAGTTGAATATACTAGCTTAGTTCCTAACTTACCCCATAAAACACGCCAAAAGTGGCTTAAAAATTTTACATCACGATCACTAACGATGCTTTTAGGAATGCCATGTAATCGTACAACTTCCCTAAAGAACAGGTCTGCAATATGTTTTGCATCATCAGTTTTGTGACAAGGAATAAAATGAGCCATTTTACTAAATCGATCCACCACAACAAAAATGCTATCATAACCTTTCCTAGTCCTAGGTAAACCTAAAACAAAATCCATTGATATATCAATCCATGGACCATTAGGAACTGGTAATGGGGAGTATAAACCATGTGGTTGAAGCCTAGACTTAGCTTGTTTACATGCTATGCAACGACCACAAACTTTATGAACATCATGTCTCATTTTAGGCCAAAAAAAAATGTTCAGAGAGCATATCATAAGTTTTAGAAACTCCATGGTGTGCCATTAAACCACCTCCATGAGCTTCCCTCACAAGTAGCTCACGGATGGAACAAGATGGTATGCAAAGTTTTCCTTTTCGGAACAAAAATCCATCTAACAACAAGTAATTATCCACAATGAGTCCTTTTTCACAAGATTCAACAAAAGGAGCAAAGAACATGTCATGTTGATACAAATCCTTTATGTGTTCAAAACCCAACAACCTAGCATTCAAAGTATTGAGGAGGACATACCTTCGTGATAAAGCATCTGCTACAATGTTCTCCTTTCCTTGTTTATATTTTATGACATACGGGAATGTTTCAATAAATTCTAACCACTTAGCATGTCGTCTGTTGAGTTTATTTTGTACTCTCAAATGCTTTAAACTTTCATGATCCGTATGAATAATGAACTCTTTAGGCCAAAGATAATGTTGCCAGGTTTGCAATGCACGAACCAAAGCATAAAGCTCTTTGTCATAAGTTGGATATCTCAAAGATGCACCAGTCAACTTCTCACTAAAGAACATTAAAGGTCTTTGATTTTGCATTAATACAGCACCTATCCCTACTCCACTAGCATCACATTCAATTTCAAAAGTAGACTCAAAATTAGGTAATGCAAGCAAGGGAGCAGAACTCAATTTATCTTTCAAAGTATTAAAAGCAAGTTCTTGATCTTTTTCCCATATAAAGGATACATTTTTCTTAACAAGTTCATTCAAGGGTGAAGCAATTGTACTAAAATTTTTAATGAACCTACGGTAGAAACTTGCAAGACCATGAAAACTTCTTACCTCACTTACATTTTTCGGAGTAGGCCAATCTTTTATAGCCTTCACTTTCTCTTCATCAACCTCAACACCATTAGATGAAACTACAAACCCAAGAAAGTTAACTTTTTCCATGCAAAAGCTACATTTCTTTAAATTTACATACAAACATTCGTTTCTTAAAGTAGTCAAAACATTGCGTACATGGATAATATGATCATCTAAAGATTTAGAGTAAACAAGGATGTCATCAAAATAAACAACCACAAACTTACCTAAGTATTTTCGTAAGACATGATTCATTAGTCTCATGAATGTACTAGGTGCATTAGTTAATCCAAAAGGCATAACCAACCATTCATAAAGACCATACTTGGTTTTAAAAGCTGTTTTCCACTCATCCCCAATATGCATGCGAATTTGATGATAACCCGATTTTAAATCAATCTTAGTAAAAAGACTACATCCATGCAATTCATCAAGCATATCATCTAATCTGGGAATTGGATGCCTATACTTTATAGTTATCTTGTTTATAGCCCTACAATCAACACACATACGCCAAGATCCATCTTTCTTAGGTACAAGAATAACTGGAACAGAACAAGGACTCAAACTTTCACGTACATACCCTTTAGCAAGGAGTTCACTTACTTGCCTTTGTATCTCTTCAGCCTCCTTTGGATTAGTCCTATAAGCTGGTCGGTTTGGAATGGGCGCGCCAGGAATGAAGTCAATCTTGTGTTCAATCCCTCTAAGTGGTGGCAAACTACTAGGCATCTCCTCGGAAAATAAATGTTCAAACTCTTGCAAAAGCACAACAAAATCACTAGGCAAAGAAGGGTTAAGCATGTTAGTAAAGTAACAAGACCCCTTGCACATAAGTACAAGAATAGTCTGGTTAGAGAGCAAAACATTCCTAGCCTCACTTGATCTAACATACAAGCTTACTGATTTGGCTTTTCTCTCTTT